AATCCAGGTTTGACACTCTTGGTCTGCCTGTAATGGCACACAAGCCAGCTTTCCTAACAGCTGGGAGGTTGTGCTCTTGCAATTAGTACGCAACAAGCAACACCATGCTGGATAAAATTGCCAGCCAATTTGCAATGATGCACTTATTGCCTGATGATTATAGGAGTGATTTAACACAGCTGGTTTTCTCCAGGCCTGGCAGGGCAGTTGGAAGAAGACTATTTAAATCAGCTCCGGTTGCAAAAGCCACCCGAGCCTCTCAGAAGAGTTATTGCAAAAATCTAGGCAGCTTGTGGGACATTAGTGGGGTGCAAAGTCACACTGACCTTATGCAGAGCATGTAAGTTTTAAGATAAATGTTTGTAGGCACAGTATGCTTCCTGTGCTATTCTGTGGTAGTTTTTTCTTGATTGCAGACACAATTTCTTAATGGGTACAAAGTTAATTTGGGACGGTTGCCAAACCAGGCAGGAGCCAATTTCGGAGGTCTACAGTATACATTTTGCTTGTTGCAGCCCACTGCTAGTTGTGGTGTGAATATTAAGTGACGCCCTCCAGTATTGGCTGTGATTATAACACAATCAAGGTCTGTGCACCAATTACTAGCTTAATCACCGGGAGAGGAATGGAGTTTGAAAGATCACATGTGTCCTGCCATTTTGGATTGCAGCTGGGCTGCGTTCTCCAACTTTTGAAACACTGAAACGACAGCTCCACTGTCGTCGCGTATCGCACATCTCCAATTAAGTTGTGGCTTGTTTTTGCTGTGATTCTGTGTCGTGCCCTCCCGCACAGCTTCCCTCCGTAGATGGGAATAGGTGCCACCCTGATGATCTTACGCAACCTGCCTGTGTGTTTTGTGTCTGTTGTTTCCCCTGGAAGTAGACAATCTTTTTCCTATTGAATGCAGGTAATTTTTGACTTATGACCACAATTGATCCCAAAACTTGCATCGTTAAGCAAGGCAGTGGTTAAATGTGTTTTGCTCAACCTTATGACCTTTTTTGGTCATATGTGTTAAGTGAACTATTGCATTGTTAAGTGAATCTGGCTCCCTCCACTGACTTTGCTTAAATAGTTACCAAGTATAAGAATGTTCATCATAAGACTGCAAGGAGAACCAGTCATAAGTCACTTCTTTCAGTGCCATTCAAACAGTCACTAAATGAACATTTATAAGTCAAGGACTACATGTATATATAATAGACAAATTGACCAGACTAAATTGTAAGGTAGTTTAATCTACTCTGGTGTCCAGCTCAAAAGATTGCTTGCTTTCCTTCCTTCCTTCCTTCCTTCCTTCCTTCCTTCCTTCCTTCCTTCCTTCCTTCCTTCCTTCCTTCCTTCCTTCCTTCCTTCCTTCTTTCTTGCTCTTTCCTTCTTTCTTTTTTTCTCTTTCTTTCTCTCTTTCTTTCTCTCTTTTTCCTTCCTTCCTTCCTTCCTTCCTTCCTTCCTTCCTTCCCAATATCCAAGAATGGCTTATAATTCCTGTTGTTGTACAGATGGGTCGTTCTCTCAGCATCAAATTTAGGAGAGTTTTTTTTTCATTATCATCAAGTAAGTCCAACAAGGTTAGAAATTCATGGCTAGAGGCTGAACAGTTAAACATTTAAAACTAACTAGCATAGCGGTAACTTTTATTATTGATACCTAGAGATCGAAACTAAAAAAAAAAAAAAGTGACTCCATAAGCCTGTACTAAACAAAGGAGGAAATGTTGCCTTTGCTGACTCTCTGTTTGTGTGTGTTTGTGTGTGTGTTTAGCGTTGTGATGGGAGTCGTGCGGTCTTAAGAGGATGAAAAATTCCTGCCTTCCTTCCTTCTGGGCTAGACATAATTGAGCACATCTGGACCTGAGCAGGTTAGGGAAGCTGGATCCAGGGTACATTAAACGCTGGTGTTGAATTATTTATGCTTTTGGCTTGGCTGGGGAAGTTTTGTCTGCAGAAGAAAAGTGAGGCCATAAATCAATCAATCAAAGAGCCAAGTGAGGGGACAGCAGAGCACAAGTGGTTATTTGCTGTAAGTTGCAGAATCCAGATGGCAAAGAAAGAGCTCAGCCAGACATGGAAGATAGGAACACGAAGGAGCCAACAGCCACAGGTCTGAAATCTGGGCTGGCCGTGTTGAATTCTGGAGCAAGAGAGGGGAGCCTGCGGGGTCTCCAAGCATTGAGTGGACGGAGCTCGCAATAAAAACTCCAATTCAGTCCGTGGTGGAAGGCATTGAATCCTAGTCACACTGAACACAACCTGGGGAAGTGCGCTGGGCCGAAGGAAGAAGAGTGTGCTCTTTTCCTGGGGTGCCCCTTCTTCAAATTGTCAAGTATTTCTTGGGGCTGCTAATCAGTAAAACCGAGACTGTGGGAGACTGCATGAAACCGATGATCGGACTGTGAATAGAATAGAATAGAATAGAATAGAATAGAATAGAATAGAATAGAAT